TATTGATGTCAAACGATTGTTAAGAGGTTGTTGATTTACAGAGAAAGAATATATATTATTTTACTAAAAGGATATTGAACCATTTAAGATAAAATTTATTTTTAACAAGGTTTCCTAATTGTTCAGGAAGGTGTTTAGGAAGACCTTCCTAAACAAGTCAAAATCCTTTCTAAACAAGTCAAAATCCTTCCTAAAATTATTCTTACTAACATTTCCTATTTGTTTAGTAAGACCATCCTAAACAAGTGAAAATCCTTCCTAAACTTATTTTTAGAAAGGTTTTCTACTTGTTTAGGAATGTGGTTAGGAAGACATTCTTAAACAAGTGAAAATCTTTCCTAAACTTATTTCTAGGAAGGTTTCCAACTTGTTTAGGAAGGCCTTCCTAAACAAGTCAAAATCTTTCATAAACTTATTCTTACTAAGGTTTCCTACTTGTTTAGTAAGACCATCCTGAACAAGTGAAAATCCTTACTAAACTTATTTTTAGGAAGGTTTCCAACTTGTTTAGGAACGTGTTTACGAAGACCTTCCTAAGCAAGTGAAGATCTTTCCTAAACTCTTTTTTAAGAAAGTTTCTTACTTGTTTAGGAATGTGTTTAGGAAGACCATCCTAAACAAGTGAAGATCCTTCCTAAACTTATTTCTAGGAAGGTTTCTACTTGTTTAGGAAGATGTTTATGAAGGCCTTCCTAAACAAGTGAAAATCTTTCCTAAAATTTTTTTAAGAAGGTTTTTTACTTGTTTAGGAAGGCGTTTAGGAATGCCTTCCTAAACAAGTGAAAATCCTTCCTAAACTTATTTTTAAAAAGGTTTTCTAAACAAGTAAAAATAAACAAGTAAAAACCTTCCTAAACACATTCCTAAAACAAGTGAAAATTCTTCCTATAGTTTTTTCAAGAAGGTTTTCTATTTGTTTAAAAATGTGTTTAGGAAAGCCTTACTAAACAAATGAAAATCCATCATAAACTTATTTTTAAGAACGTTTCCTACTTGTTTAGGAAGGTGTTTAGGAAGACCTTCCTAAACAAGTGAAAATCTTTCCTAATTTTTTTTTTATGAAGGTTTTCTACTTGTTTAAAAAGTTGTTTAGGAAGGCATTCCGCAGCGCCTTTATCTACAGAAATTAGAAGACAATGCGGAGACATGACTAAACATTCATGAATTATAATATATATGTTTTGATATACTAAAAACTTTGTAATTTGCAGGAGAGAAATAAGCCGATATAAGTCTCACCAACATAGACAACAGAAAGGCTAATAAATGGAGTTATCGTTCATGTAGTCAATTCAAGAAATGATATTAGATCACTTATCACAATTTCTTTTGGTTAGTCTCTATCTTTGGATGTTTCTTACCAGGAAAAACATTTTCAGGGATAAAAAGAAAACCTAAACAGTGCTATAGATTTTTGGGTCCAAGCAAGATTTTCATGCGGTGATTTAAACGTACCATTTTTCTTTGGTCTTCAATCTTTTAATCAATTTAATATATGTATTTTATTAGGGGTAATATATCACTAATGTTTGTACGAGAGAACATTCTTAACTAACAATTTCTTCAATAAATCTTCATCTTCCAACTTTATTTTTTTCTTTTTCACAAGGAAGTTAATATCTTAATTAGAGGAATTTGAAAAGTCATTTCCATTATCCTAAA